TAACAGCGATACAGGTCTATAATTTGAAACCAAAGAGGGGTCATCCTTTTTAAAGAGAGGAATAACATGTGCTATTTTCCAGAAAGATGGAAATATTCTATCTGACAGGGACCTGTTGTATAACATAGTGAGTGGTTTAACAACAGAATGGAGAGTAGATTTTAACATTTAATGACTTATACAGTCCAACTTTTTAACACCTTTATCATTATATATTTCAACTATCTGAAACAACACGCACTTCTTCATATTGTTATTCCGTAAGTATCGGGTAATTTCATTTAGACTTGGGAAGTGTGTGTTGTTAATGATTTTTTTTTTGTTTTTTTTTTGGTTTCAAGGACAGACATTTACAACCACATGTTGTATTAATTAGCGGACGATGCATCAATACACATCACCCTGGCTTACACCTTGGTAAGATTGCTCTGCAAGTCGTCAAGTGATGGTGCTCCTTGTTATCAGCTGTTCTCAGTGGGGATCCTAACATATCCCCACTAACAACTATCTGAAACAACACGCACTTCTATTTAAGTATCGGGTAATTTCATTTAGACTGATATATAAGTGTGTTCTTGACTAAATTATAAAAGTAAAGGGTACATCCAGGTAAATATCTCTACCCAATACTCACTCAAAGTAAATAACAAAATTATTTTTTTTTTTTTTCCTCATATAGTTTATATGTCAAGACATGAAATTGAAATACAAAGGGTGTTATTTAACAACATTAATTAATTATATAAAATATAATTGAGTGATCAGGTGATCTTTTGAACAACTAGTATGTATTAAACATAAGCGTGTGAGGTTGACCACATCATATTCTTTAATTTGTCGGCTTAAAGGCTGGACTAAGAGAGGAAAATTCTCCATGTGTTTTGTAAAATCCTTCAATTTCGTCTGTGTCTGCTGATAGATTGGCAATATTGCTTGCTAATGTGCTAGCATCTGTCAAGGTTTTCGTCCTGCTGTAATAATAAGCTGATCGTTCACTCGACCATCCGACATGCTTCATGAGTTCCTGGGGAGATGTCGCAGTGCCTGAGATCGCCATGGTTACAGCAAAACCTCCTCGTAGACTGTGTGGGGTTTCTCCTTCATAAATACCCAAAGATACCAGGTAAAACCGAAGCCGTTCATAAATTGCCGAGTAACCCAGCTGTTGATCCAGTACTCGCCCTGATTCTGATACGGGCCTGAAGAGATATCCTAGACTCAAATCCACGTTATTTTGTTTGGACCAGGCATAGTAGTTTTCAAGACCTAAGACAGGACAGATTGACTTATCTTGGGACCTTTTTATGACAAAGGTGTTTGACTTTCCATCTCCACGTAATGTCTTCCCGTAGGTGTGCTCGAAAACAAATCCGGAGTTATCCTGCAATTTTTTAACTTCCTGCGATAAAATATTGCAAACATCGCTGATTCTATCCCCGGCAAAGAACTGAATTTTGAATATCGCTTGATCTCTAATCAAGACAAACTTTTCCCTTAAGGAAAGGTCAGGGCGAGCAAATTCTCTATCAATAAACAGGGTCATTTTCTTTATCTTTCCCAAAAATATCGGTCTGGCTTGTTTAGGTAACACATGGGATTTTGCCTGTTCTTCTTTACAGAATTTTACATAGTTTTTTACTTCCGGGGACAAGCAGGGATTCCCTGACTTAGTATGAACATCCCATGATCGAGTTCTTCCATGTACATACAATATCTCAGATATCTGTTGAACCATATTATGAATAGTTCCTGCTGCGAGCCTAGTAGGGCATGTGCATTCAAATAAACCAAGTTTACCCAAGTGTGGACACGAGATCCCGTGTATCTTCGTCTTCCCGAATCTATCACTCCACACCATAAATCGGCACACATCTTGTGGCGTCATACTTGTTAAGTCCGGAGAGGTTGGTAACTGTGATAAGAAAAGTCGTACCCTTTTTTCCAAGTTTTTCATCTTCTTTGTGGCCTTTTTATTGTCCTCGTTCTTTTCAAGCTGACTTAATCTCTTGTCAATAGCAGGAAGGTCAACTTCATTATCTTCCATCTACAAAATAAGAGTCCGTAATTTTATTATAATTTCAGCTGAAATCCACTCTACATGCTTTAAGTTCCCATTTTAGTCCCAGTTTATCGGATGTAAACCCTTTTTTGGATGGAATAAGCAATACAGTTTTATCGCCTTGTCTACCTAACGTGAAAAGATTTACACAATGAGCACTCAAAAGTGGCCACCAAATTGGTCGCGGGTACATTATTGGCACAATAATTGTGCACTGTTTTACTTTTTGTTCTTTAAGGAGACACAGTACGGGGAATATGAGGTGAAATGGAGGAAACACGTACGGGCGCTTCTCACTTGACAGATCTTGTGCAAATACATTAACACCCGCTGATTGTGGAGTAGGGTTTTGAGTGAAATGTCTCAATGGAACTCCAAAGTTGGATATCATTACATTCGTATCTGTCGCCATCAAATCTACTGTATGTGGTCCAAACATAGTCTCAACCCTCTGCCATGTTTGGGGATTTAGCATGCAATCTGTGTAAGAAATAGTTCTAGATGGAGCGTCTGCAGTATTTTCTGCTGACGGCACATAGTGTAATCTCAAGTCAATATTCAATTTCCAAACTGTCTGGAATATATTTTTCATTATATCAGCCAAATGCCGGTCCCGTGACCTTTGATTTTCCCAAGCATGCAAGACTGCGGTATTGTCAACATGGATGTCTAATCTGTGGTCTTTGATTTTCATCGCTAAGGACTTGAGGGCAATGTCGACAGCTGATGCTTCCTTAAGATGAATCGGTCTATCATCCTCGCTTGACCAATAGTCTCCAAAAGATAGACCCTTGTCTTGGCCTGACATAAGGGAGATTCCATAGCGGAAAGAGGATGCATCCGTTGACAGTGACATTTGAAGATGTTTCTCTTGTCTCCAAGGCGCGAAGCCTTCCCAGTCGTCCAAAAACCTCCAGTGTTCGATCTCTTGTCGCAGCTCACGAGAAATGATTGTTTGTTTACTATTCTTCATGCACAGTGATATCGCGAAATTCATTTCCCTTGTATATAATTTGGCACCTGGTATAACGATTGCCATTGATATACATTTCCCGGCGAATCGTTGAAGTGTTTTAACATCAACTTCATTTGTTTGCAAGATACTCTCTCGTATTCTGATGAATGATTCCTTTTTATCCAATGGAAGTAAGTAGGCCTGTTTAGTAGAGTCAACTAAAAAACCTAAGTATCGGACTACTGTAGTTGGGATAAGCTGGCACTTTTTGATAGCTAGTGTATATCCTAAGGCTGTTAATTCGGTCACAATAAGTTTCACCATTTGTAACGGACAAGCTTGTTCTTGAATTTCTGATTGAACATATTGCTGACACACTGCAAGCCTGTCATCAATGTACTGAACCATATGAATACCTTTCTCTCGAAGATATGATGTGATTTGCATCCCAATCATTTGATATATGTAGGGAGAGGCTTTCCAACCAAATGGTAGGGTTGTGTATGTGTAGACCCATCCCCCAAACTGAATTCCAAAGTACGTTTCTGATTCTCTGGTGAGTTTAATATGATCGTATCCGGATTTTTCATCGCAACACATCATGTAAGCATGTTCCCCAACAAGTCTATGAACGTCTTTAAGTGTATCTAAAGTGAAGGGTAAATCCTTAGTCCACAAGTTCAAAAAGCGCTCGTCATGACAGAGTCGTGGCTTATTTGGCTCCACTGTCAAAGGCATGATAATCTGAGGGAGACAGCTTGTTCCCACCCTTCCCCATAATCTCAATGAACCATTCACTAGTCTCTCACTTATTTCTTCTCTAATAAAATGAACAAAGTTTCTGCAAGTTTTAGAATTTTGAAAATACTGTTTTGGTGGGAGTCTATTATCATATGATTGCCCCTTGAAGTTTCCCTTAAACGGACGCAGGAAGGACCTAACATCAATGCCATTATTGACCCAATTTTGAATTGTAGTTGACATTTTGTCCGAGTTTCTTTGAGTTATACGCAACCATTCATCTTTGTGTTTGTGAATTTCACCCGAAATGAATCGATCAGGATTTCTTACAGACAAATGCAGTAAATCGCTGTAAGAATCCATAAATACTTGTCCATCTGCATGGATTGTTGGCTTGGAACCGTATTCTCCCAATGTCGTCCAAGTAGGATGCTCTCTCTTACGTAAAATAATTTCCTCTGGGTTAAATTCGTCACTTTTCTCCCAGTCAGGAACGTAAATGTTAAATTCCTGCAAACATGAGATATTTATTATTACTAATAATTATACCTCTGATTTGAGCATCATCTACTAGGATAACATGGGAAAACATGATCCCAAACCATCAATCCACGTGAGAGTACTCACTAGGGCTTCAGTGTCCCCGGATATCAGGTATTGGGATAACAAATACCAATAACACTCATTTCATTTTATATTTAATTAATTCTACTTTCAGACTGAAAACACACTACATGTAATGTATTCAAATCATTGACAAGTGATAATTAATATCATATTTTACTTAAAGAGATTACCAATAAATGTACATTTCAAGTCTGAGAAATTAATTAAAATTGACTAAATCCGTTCTTTAAAATTGTCAGATGTCATTGAGAATTCATTTTTCCTCTCGCAGCCTTCATTTTCGTACAGTCTCGGACATAGTGGTCATTTGCCCCGCAGAATAGACAGCCGGTCCTCGGTTGCCGATATGGAGCGCGCTGGTATCGGCGGTACCCATACTGAGAACCCACTCCGTGCGAACCAGGTACAAAATTGTAGTGTGGTGGAATATATCCCATGTAGTTTGGTTGACCATATAGATTCAATAGTGGAGATTGAGTTTGAGTTGGAGTCTTCTCCGTTTCCGAAGGTTTCGTTTCGGGTTTTGATTTGATAGCTTTAGACAGCGCTTTACCTACTATATCAGACGCTTTGCCTCCAAGGACACTCAGACAAAAGTTTGGGACATCAATTTTGTCTTGATTTAAATTAGCCTGTCGGGAAAGCTCATCAAACACGGAGGCCTCATCATGGCCCTTCCGCCTAGTTATTCTGGCGAGCTCATCCAAAGTAACAAGGAGAAGAGGGATACTAGGGCTGCTTTGAAGTGCCAAACTCCTCACCTTTTCTTTCACATTCTCTATTTCTTTGTCCTCTTCATTTTTCTGACTTTTCTCAAGTTCTTGTAGTCTCTTCTCAACGCTCGGCGCCGACTTTCCTTTCTTGGCAGGTGGCTCTTCCGGCTCACTCTCCTGTACACAAATAATTGTGAAAATCAATCAAAATGAAAATCGATATTATTTATTTATTTTTATTTATTTATTTATTTTTTTTTATTTTTTTTTTTTTTTCTTTTTTAAATAATTTTATCTACACAAGTATAATTCATGTAATAAGGAATATTGATTAAGACATCCCGTAGTTATGATGCTAGTAATAATTACACTAATTATCAATACAGTTTAACTGTTTACCTTGTTCTCGGCGGCTAATTCTTGGCCAGCTGGTTGGCCGAACTCATTCGCCCTTAAGATAACTAGATGGAGAAGCGTCCTTAAATTCTCGTCTGACATCTCTCTACCTGCCATCTGCAGGCAGTCTTTTTCTGACTCTCCAGTCAACTCCCTGAAGGCGTTAATCACTTCCTCTTTGTCCATGTCTTCAAGCGGCGTGTTAATTTTGTACCGCGCAAACTGCTTCACCGGCTGTTCTAGTCCTCGCAGCTCTTTGATGACGGGGAACAAGTCTTTCCCCCGCAGAGAGTGTCTCCGCTTTAAGACAGTCGGAGGAGGCATCTAGTAATGAGAAAATACATGAAAATGAATACCACATTTAACTTAATATGCTAGACGTTCATCTTAATATCATCTGCATGTTATATCTATAAATCTTTATAATCATCATGATTCGGCCTCTCGCATCATTACTTAAAGAGCCATAATTCATATAGACAATATACTGTATATTTATATCTATTCTTAATAACTTTCGTATATTAAAGATTTTATTCAATAGTCGTGGACAGCCCGGGCCCTTCACTGGCATTGAATTTTCCAGCAGCTTATCTTCATAAACTAGAATCTCCTAATATCTCATTAATTAGCTTATAGACAAACTCTATATTTTGATAATCATCATCATTTCGCGGCTTTTCAAACTTTCATGTGTTTTACACGCCCCAGTGGCTTTTAATTTTCTACATTTCATTCAACAATATAAAGCAGCAGGAAAAATTCTAAAGCCCTCAGCGGCTTAAAAGTTAATGCATTTGATATCAATAAATCTACCCTCAGTTGCAGTAAAATAACAGCGACAGTAAATGTTCAATAGCCCTCAGCGGCTTCAAATTCCATGCATTTAACTTTTGCCCTCAGCGGCAGTAAAATGTTTAGCCCTCAGCGGCTTAAAATTCCATGCATTAAACTTTTGCCCTCAGCGGCAGTAAAATAGTTAGCCCTCAGCGGCTTAAAATTTCATGCATTAACTTCTGTCCTCAGCGACAGAAAATGTTTAACAGCCCTCAACGGCTTAAACTTTGCCCTCAGCGGCAGTAAATTTATCTATTAGCCCTCAGCGGCTTAAAATTTTATGCATTAACCTCTGCCCTCAGCGGCAGGAAATTTTCAACAGCCCTCAACGGCTTTTGTAAATGTAGAATTAATATATTACCTATCCTTGTTTGTCTTTTCTTCTTAACACTGGCTATACACGTCTTATCTGTTGCTCTGCAAGTCGTCAAGTGATGGTGCTCCTTGTTATCAGCTGTTCTCAGTGGGGATCATTCGCGAACACAAGTGAGAAATTCAGATGTGAAATTTTCAGTGGCCAACTCTATGGTATCAGCTTCATTGATGATTTTATCCCAATTACAGTTTTCTATCAAAGTATTTAATTTACCAAAGTCTGCATTTTTATAGGCCCACACTTTTCTTTTGTAAGAGCGATTGTAGTTTATATTAGAGAAAAGCGAGATAAAAGTAGCTCTATGATCACTTATAGATGATTCCATTACTAATGTGCCCGATTCGCACACTTGAATATCAACAGAAGAAAAAATTGGGTCAAGCAGCGTGCTCGACGTGTTCGTAGTTCTTGTAGGTTCATGGATATTGTTAACTAAATTGTGTGTTGCGATTATTTCACGGATGATATGTGTTTGTGGAGCTGTAAAGAGGTAAACATTAATGTCACCAACTATTACTATCGTATTGGATTTTTCACCAACTTTATCAAAACTCCATGAAAGTTTGGTCCAAAAACTGCCATCAGAGTTTGGGGGACGATATACACAGCATAAGAGATAGTTAAAGGTATGATTATCAATTTCAATCCATATGCATTCAAAGTCAGCTGGTTCGAATTCATGTCGCCTAATAGCGCGTATTTTTTCTGATAAGTAAATCATGACACCACCCCCGTAACAGTTTCTATCTTTCCTCAAAATATTACAAAACCCATCTAAGTGTAAGTCATCATTGTGTACAGTATGGTCCAGATGGGTTTCTGTTAAACATAAAATGTCAAAATCATGAACAAAAGAGTTTAAATGATCGATTTTGTGTCTAATACTTCGTATATTGAGGTGTAAAATGTCAAGGACATGTTCAATGGTAGGCCCCGGATTGACCTCGATATCGCCACATGCTAATAGAACAAATGTAAACAATTGACAATAGAAATTAATATACACAGAATTGTCTGTAATACATTTCATGCATTGACTAAGAAGTTTAAAAATGTTTTTGAGTAATTGTAACAAATAGGCGCACGGAGACACAGACCACAAACATTTTTTAGAAGTTCCTTTACCTGATAAATAGAATAAACCGACTGCAGCTCGATATTCTTCTAGTGAGTTACCCATTGTCTATCTTTTGATATATATAATTGTATGGAAGTATAAGACCGCAGTCAGTAGCTGCCCAAATTTCGCCTACTACATTATTCACTTGACATATGTATACAAAGTTTGCATGACTTAAGTATTGAACACCTAATGTAATAAAATAGTTTCTAACAAAAAGATGAGTGAAATATAAGCACAATGTAAACAAAAACAACAAATAAAATATATACACTAGAACCAAACTGGTAATACAAGAAATATTTTGGAAAATACGTAAAAACAACAGTTGACCACTGATGACAGAGTTGCAGTATAAATTGTGTAGCTGGTTGTGTATGAGCTTAGCCCATAGAACAACGTACATGTATGTACAAAAAATAACTAGACGGAGAAGCATAGATGTGGTGGCATAGTTGTGGGTTTAGAATTGGAAAAAATATCTATATATATATATAGACAAATATTACAAATTTTGAACAGATTAAGAGAAAAAAAGTGAAAATGACATTTTAATTGTTGAAACAAAATGCAGATTTTGTTTGTCAACTGTTCGTTGTATATAATATAGGTATTTATACACAGACAATCACATTTAATAAATATCTGGAAAGGACGGATGTCAAAGCTAACGGACAGATGCTATCACTGCGGAACGTGGCCGAACGGACAGAGGTCGTCCTCCTGTCTGATGAGATATGTTTTTTTCTTATTATCTCGGATGCGGATTTTTCCGTTTGATGACCAAGCCTGTAGTATTTTATGCTGTCGGCAAAGCTGGCGACACATATATAGTAGTTTGTCTCGACGCTTGGTGAGATCCTCGTTGATCATCACATGTCTTGTTTCAGAATTTCAGATCGACAGAACGCAGTCTTGCAGTTATCTGTCTTGGTCCAGATCGTCCGCCTTGATTCGATTGCTCGTTTCTTGGTGTCCCTACCCTGTGCGACGTCACGATGTCATCTCGGTTGAGGGGAATTCCGGCCTTAGCAGTGACACCCAAGATGAGGTCTGTTGTGTTTTCATCATCGTTTTCAGGAATTCCTGTAATTCTGACGAGAGGTCTGCGGCCGTATTGTTCTAACTCGTCTAATTGAAGTTGTAGGTCATTATTTGATGTTTCGAGACTTGTAATTTTTTCATAGAGAGGCTGGACGGCTTTTGCTACTTCTTTCCTGACTAGTTCAGCAATTTCACCCTGAATTGATAACTGTACAGCAGTGGCAATGCGTGCAATGTCATCCTCACCAATTACCACTTGGTGTGTCATGGAAGGAATGGGTGGAAATTCCTTGGGATCCAGCTCTCTCAGAGGGGTGGAGGTGGTTATGTGAGATGGTTCAGACACAGACCCATCCCTCTGTTTTTTAGGTGACCTCATGATGTCCGAAAATGACTTAGACATATCACTTAAGTTCCTCTTGTTGTCCCCTTTCTCGGCCATTGTTTATACGCAGAACTATACCAATATAGAGAATTGTGTAGGGTGAGTTCACCATGCATCGGACACATACCTTGCTTCGGACAACTTTAGGCAATAAACTCTCTTTCAACTTAAGAGTTCTGTGTATTTATTTGTTTCTGTCTTAAAGAGGAAGATTTGAATTTTTTAATGATACCGATTGTGTTTATCATGTTGAGATAAAAATTCCCCGAGAATGGCCTTGAAGTTGCGTCATATTTTACATCATCAAAGGGGAATAACCCGAAATGTATGATTTGGCAATTTTTAGAGTTATCGTTCTTTTAAATTCGACTTCCACGGAACGAGTCGAACTTTGGTGAATTTTGTCAGGGATCGGTACTTTTACATAAATTATAAAGAAATTTCACTTCAATGTTTGTTTAATTCTTATTAGAGCTGGTTTTTACTAGTATGCTATTTTCACCGTACATCGGACACAAATTAACCGTGCATCGGACACTTTCCGATGCAATGGTAAGCACTACCGTTTTCATACAGAACCGAGTTGATAACTGTTTTTTGCGGAAAAAGAAAATAAAAACTCTATATTTTCAGTCAAAATACAAGTTATGGATATATGACGTCTGGAATTTGACTCAATTTATTTTTACAAACCAGAGTATGATAAACCATGAAAAAAGGGCGCGAAATACCGCATTATAAGCATTTTAAAGCATTTCTAAGGCAGACTGAGATCTCTTGAATCGTTCTACATTTGTGCAACAATATCGTCAGTTAAATTTAAGTTGGGGGTTATTTCTTATATAAAAGATAAAAATATATCCATATCAAGCATTTTAAAGCACTTTGATAAAGGTATGATATTTTTCTGGTCAAAATACCGTCTATCCGATGCATGGTAAACAATGCCCGATCCATGGTGAAATTTGAGTTATTACTAAAAACTCGATTTTTGAGGATATTTTCGCAATAAAGGGCATTTAATTGTGTCCCAAATTGATATTTTAATCACAAAATAAATGTTTAACTCCATTTTGATAATTTTTCGTCGGTAGCGATATCGCTAGAACTTGTTGAAGTACAAGGGTATCCGATGCATGGTGAATTCACCCTATTGTGTATTGACAATATTATCAGTGTTACTGAAAAAAAGTTTTATCTAGAGCTGTTCTGTACTGATGACCATTTGTTTACCGATAATTGACACAAATAAAGCACATATGAAATGAACTTATACGATGAAATTCGATAGGCGTTTGAAACGACGTTGCCAGGAGGTCGTGAGTAGTTAATCAACAATATAAATAGTGTCAAAGTTATTTCGAGCTACTCACGTCTGTATAAGCTTTTTTTCCTAGCAAAACATAATCACTATTTGTTCAATACCCCTCCTGTAGTCTTCCAATATCTTTTTTTCACAATTCACCCACGACTTTTGGAAATTTTCTACATATTTACACCAGCAGATTTTGAGCCAACCGCCACTACCAAACTAAGTGCGGGTTCAATGCAATGAAATTTAGCATAGCAACTCCCTATGGACTAAAGAAGACCCCTATTGATTTTGAGGTCAAAAAGTCAAAGGTCAAGGTCATAAATAAGCAAATTCTGTCTGTTGTAACACTTTCGTTTCCACACGATATCTCTAGAACCATTTGAGCTGTTGCAATGAAATTTTACATAGCAACTCCCCGTGGCATAATGAAGACCCCTATTGATTTTGAGGTCAAAATGTCAAAGTTCAAGGTCGTATTTATACATTCTGTCTGTGTGTAACACTATCATTTCCGGGCGATATTTCAAGAAGATTTTGAGCTTATGCAATGTAATTTTATACCAAAACTCCCTAGGACCTCTCTCACCACTCTCAAAGTGCCCCGCCCAGTTTGTTTTATTAGTATTTATAGTATTACATGTCGCTATTTTTAGCACAGGGGCATGAGAAGAGTTATTGCGTATAAAACAGGTTCTCGGCGGACATTTTGTTCTTATTACATCTATTAGTTCTAACTGTTTAATTTAATAAAGGCTAAATAAATCAAATACCGTGGATTGTGTAAAATTTTGACAATACCGAACATGAATATCTACATGTATGTGACTTCACTTCTGCATATACTTAAAGCCATGTAAAGCGATTCCGTGGTCTAGTGGTATGTTTCTCGCTTCGCATGTGAGAGGTCCTGAGTTCAGGTCCCGGATGGACCACTTTTTTTTTAAGAAATACTTTTTTTTACTAAATGATAGGCCATATTTCAGACTATGTGGGCAAAAAATGTGTGGGTGAATTTCTTTCATATCATATATAAAGAGAGATTTTGTATCCTAGAACCAAATATCAAAGTTTCAGAAAAATTGAATTTGAGGAAAAATCTTGGCCTATTTATTGTGTCCTAGTCCTACTATGATTGGGAGTTAATATAATATAATTATGACTTGGTATTCTGCACTCAAAATAAGCATGCAAGCAATTATAGATTGATATACCCTATATATTAAAGTATATTCATGAA